CCCAAAGCTTGGCGGGCGCCCGCAGGATGTTAAGGCTTGGCGTAGGCCAAGTCTGGCATGCAGCTGCGGGTGCCTGTGGCACTCAGCGGGTCCCTGTAGAATTTGGCGTGCGGCTGCGAAATTGGCCAGGAACTATTTTTTCCTTTTGGCGGAATGGAAGCTGTGTCGGGATCCAAAAATTTTCCAAATAGAAACTTAAGCTCCTATGGACCCTAGACACCTTGTACAACTCTCGGAACGAGAATCGGAGCTCATTTGCAAATGTGCTAATTTTGAGGTCCGAATTTTCCGTGACTTTTTTGGATTTCTGGGAAAATTGCCGAAACGACACTGAAAAATTTCGAAAATGGTAACAAGACCTTAAAATAACGAAGTAAGCCTAAAGTGACTTTTGGAACACAATTCGAGATAGTTTCGAAAAAGTTCAAATTTGGGCTATACTTAGCTAATTTCCTAAAAATTTCTGGCAAAAGCAACTTTGGAAGAGGGAAGCTTTGGAATTGAAAGAATTGCTTCCCAAGAGTGCTAAATTTAATGTTGATAGCTAGACGAACCATGATTCTGCATCAGTCCTCGTATATTGGGTCCGTTAATAGGACTTTTTCTACTTTTCGAAGCGGTACGATGCCATTAACATAAGGCTTAAGCCGTTGGCCATTAACCTTAAAGAGAGATCCATCAGTACGATCATGAAGTTCAATTACACCATAAGGAAAGACAGATGAGATAACATATGGACCATCTCACCGTGAAACCGGGAAAAAGTCGTAACTTAGAATTGAAAAGCCAAACTTTTTGTCCGGGGGCAAAAGACTTATTGACAATATGCTTGTCATGAAATGCTTTAGTCTTTACCTTATAGATTTTGGCGCTTTCATACGCATCATTGCGAATTTCCTCATGCTCATTGAGTTGTAATTTGCGAGTAGAGCCAACTTACTTAAGATCAAAGTTGAACCGTTTTATGGCCCAAAAAGCGCGGTGCTCTAACTCCTCTAGGAGATGACAAGCTTTGCCAAAGACAAGTCGATATGGTGACATGCCAATGGGCATCTTATACGCTGTCCGGTAGGCCTAAAGCGCATCGTTTAGTCTTAATGACCAATCGTTGCGGTCCGGTCGAACCATTTTTTTCAGAATATGCTTGATCTCACGATTAGATACTTCCACTTGACCAATCGTTTGAGGTTGGTAAGGTGTGGCAACCTTGTGAGTGACAGAGTATTTGAGATGGACAGATTTAAGATAGCGGTTACAGAAATGAGAACCTCCGTTACTGATGATGGCTCTAGGAGTACCAAATCGACTGAAAATGTTCGATTGAACGAACTTGACCATAACTTTATGATCATTGGTTTTGGTAGCCTTTGCCTTAACCCATTTAGACACGTAATCCACCGTTATGAGAATATACTCATAGCCATAAGAACATGGAAATGGTCCCATGAAGTCAATTCCCCACACATTGAAAATTTTTATGATTAAAATGGGGGTCAGGGGCATCATGTCTTTTCTTGACATGGATCCGAGCTTTTGGCAACGCTCACAAGACTTGCAGAAATTGTAAGCATCCTGAAACAAAGAGGGCCAATAAAATCCGCTTTGAAGGACTTTGTCAACGATTTTCTTGGCATTGAAATGTCCTCCACATGCAAGAGTGTGGCAGAAATTTAGGACACTAGAGAATTCAGTTTTGGGAATGCATCGCCGGATGATTTGGTCTAGGCAATATTTGAACAATTCCAGATCTTCCCAAAAGAAATTTTTGACTTGGGAGAAGAACCGGTCTTTCTCTTGTTTGGACCATTTGGACGGAATTTTTTCTACCACAAGGTAGTTGACAATATCCACAAACCATGGAAGATTTGTATGAGAAATCTAAAATAGTTGCTCATCCGGAAAGGAATCGCGAACCGTAGCAAATTCAGAAGATTTTTCAACGAGTAAACAAGAGAGATGATCAGCGACAACATTGTCTGTCCCTTTTTATCCCGAATTTCAATGTCAAACTCTTGGAGTAAGAGTATCCATCGAATTAGATGGAGTTTGGTCTTTTTTTTGGCGAGCAAATGCCTTAGAGTAGCATGGTCTGAAAATACAATGACCTTGGATCCAAGAAGGTAAGAGGGAATTTATCCAAGGCATACACCACAGCTAGCAAATCTTTTTCAGTGGTAGTGTAATTCAATTGAGCATCAGAAAGAGTTTTGCTAGTATAATAGATAGCATGTGGTAACTTGTTCACATGCTGACCCAAAACCGCACTCAATGTATAATCGGATGCATCACTCATAATCTCAAATGGGAGAGACCAGTTAGGCGGTTTTATGATTGGGGCTGAGGAGAGAAGAGTACGAAGCTTCTTGAAAGCTTCTAAACAAGCTTCATCAAAATTGAAGGGAATATCCTTGGTAAAAAGATTACCCAAGGGCCGGGATATTTTGCTAAAATCTTTGATGAAGCGGCAATAAAAGCCGGCTTGAGCAAGAATAGAACGAATTTGTCGAACAGAATTTGGAGGAGGAAGGTTAGAGATCAATTCGACTTTTGCTTATCAACCTCAATTCCCCTTTTAGAAATAACATGTCCCAAGATAATGCCTTCTTGGACCATGAAATGACACTTTTCCCAATTTAGAATCAGATTTGTCTCCTTACATCGTTGAAGCACAAGGGATAGATTATGGAGACATGAGTCAGAAGAAGATCCAAAGATGAAAAAATCATCCATGAAAACTTCCAAAAGCTTTTCAACCATATCGGAAAATATGGACATCATGCACCTTTGGAAAGTTGCCAATGCATTGCATAGCCCAAAGGGCATGCGTCTGTAGGCAAATGTTCCAAAGGGACATGTAAATGTGGTCTTCTCTTGATCTTGAGGATCAATTGCCACTTGGTTATAGCCGGAATAACCGTCAAGAAAACAGTTGTAGCTTTAGCCGGCAAGCCTTTCTAGGATTTGATCAATAAATGGGAGTGGGAAATGATCCTTCCTAGTGGTAGAATTGAGTTTCCAGGAGTCAATGCACACACGCCACCCGGTGGTGGTGCGTTGTGGCACGAGCTCTCCCATTGAATTTTTAACAATGGTGAGACCGGATTTCTTGGGAATAACTTGAGTGGGGCTTACCCACTTGCTATCATAGATAGGGTAGATGATTCCCGGATCTAGTAGCTTGATCACTTCTTTCATGTTTGGATTCAACCGGCGTTGTACCTTTCTAGAAGGTTTTGCATCGTCCTCCATATGAATGTGATACATACAAATAGAAGGGTCGATTCCTTTCAAATCAGCCACTACCTAGCCAATAGCTTCTTTGTGCTCTTGTAGTACCGCTAAAAGGCTATTTTCTTGGTCCTTTAAAAGGTCCGATGCAATGATGACTGGAAGATTTTTATTTGCACCAAGAAACATATACTTGAGGTGGACCGGGAGCGGCTTTAACTTAAGTTGTGGTGGAGATTTCAATGAAGGGACTAGAGGAGTAGTTGAAAGTTGAAGAAGTGGTTCTCTTGGCACTTTCCAAGGAGGATAGTCCATGATAACACTAATGTTGAGCAAAGAATTTACTTCTTAGATAGATTGATTGATATCAAAGTTTGCAAAGTCAAAGTGAGATATGCAAGTTTCAAGAGGATCCTTGCTCAGAATGAAGGGGAGAGATTCTTTGACCACTTCATCGACCACATCAATGAGAAAACAATCATCCTCTTTGGAATGATGTTGAGTTGCATGGAAAATGTGGAGTTTGACTTACATATTTCTAAAGGCAATATCCATCACCCCGGTTCAATAATTTATCGAAACATTAGCCGTAGCTAAGAAAGGCCTACCGAGGATCACGGGAATATGTTTCTTTAGATCATAGACCAGTTCCGTGTCAAGAACCACAAAGTCTATCGAGAAGTAGAATTTGTCTACTTTGACGGTGACATCTTCAAGAATGCGCCGTGGGTGCTTGACCGATCTGTTAGCAAGCTGCAAGACCACAGAGGTTGGCTTAAGATCCCCCAACCTAAGTTGTAAGTAAATTGAATAAGGAATCAAGTTCACACTCGCTCCTAAGTCAAAAAGGGCCCTTTCTATCTTGTTATCACCAATAACACATGAGATTGTCGGGGCACCTGGATCCTTATACTTTAGAGGAGTGCTGTGTTGAATTATCGCATTCACTTGTTCAGTTAGTCTTACGTTCTTTGGTAAATGACTTTTAGAAGTGCGTTTTTTAGTACAAAAATCCTTGAGAAATTTGGCATAGGGAGGAATTTGCTTGATAGCATCCAAGAGAGGTAGGTTGATCTTTACTTGCCTAAAGACCTCCCACATGTCCTGAATTTTACAGCTTTTGTTCCCAAAATGTGTTGATTCTTGGAGATGTTGAAGAAACGGAGCCTTAGGCTCATAAGAAGTCTCTACATTTGGGGTCATAAGCTTAGAATTTTCAATGTTAGACTTTGGATTATCAAAAGTGAAATTTAGATTAGATGTGTGGAGGGAAAAAAAATCACGCCAATCGCGAAACAACACGTAGCAACAAAAGGCAGCCCACAACAAAGTTAAAAAAAGTTGGAAGCCCATAATGAAACATAAGCCCAGCGAAGGAAGGCCTACTTAAAACAAAGGTAGAATGAACAGGCCCAACTCTGACAAGGCCAAAACTCTATAACGCTCGCAATAATGTCAAATACATGATCTATATGCATAAATTACCCACGTTTGGGAATAAAAGCCAAGAAATGGCTCCATGTAAATTCCTAAGCAACACTTATAAATAGAGCCTCAACAAAGGTGAAGAGGAGGAAATTATGAATATTACTACTATCTCAAAGATTTGTTTGCTCCCTTCTTAATTTTTCTATGTGCTTTCTGTAGTCAATCTCTTTAGGTGTTCGGGTGTAAAAAATTGCACCCACACTTTGGCGCCGTCTGTGGGAAAAATTGCACCCACACTTTGGCGCCGTCTGTTCCCTATCCCTTGTATACAACATCACTCCAAAATGGCAATAGAGCTAGACACTGTTCAACCGCAACAACAGGAGACCATGCAGAAGATACGCGAAGAGATGCAAGCGCAACTAGACGTCCTGCGACAAGCAAATAAAGCCAGCACTAAGCAAATCAATATGCTAAGGCAGGCTCGAGAAACCAGCGTGGTACAAATCAGCACTCTACGCAGAGAAAACGAAAGATTCTGAGGCAACGCTCGACGGAATGAACAGCCGAACGACCCCGGCCTAAACGTCAGAATGAAGATCCCTAAAACTAACATGTCAGAGCTGAATTCACGGGCACAAAACTACATCAGACTTAAAGAAAATGAAGTAACTAGGCAGCGAGAGCTATACTAATCACAGTAGAGAATCGATCGAAGGAGCGATCGAGCACCCCGAGGGCCCATCAGGAACCCCCGACTATTGAGGGACGAGCCCCTGAAAAGAAATCCCGAACAACCGAAAGGGTCACACCGCTTAAAGTAACACTGGCCAAACTGTACCAAGAGACCAAGGCAAGAAACATCTTCCAGATCCCACCACCAATCAGACAGCCAATGGAGTAAAGAGACCAAAATAAACACTGTGCATTCCATAGTGATTTTGCTCACCTAACCAATGATTATAGGAGCTTAAGAAGACAGGTGGAAGAGTTAATAGCCAAGGGCGAGTTAACTGAATACTTGATTACCCCGGGGAAATAAAGGCAGCAAAATCGAGCCTGGGCAATTCCAAAAGCCGCAGTAGATAGCCATCCTATCCGGGTAATTAACGCAATTCATGGCCGTCCGGAAGAAGACGAGCAATCGGGAAATTCCTACAGGATCCAGCTCAAACAAGCCCATAAGCTGTGGAGGATTGGGGAAATCAATACCGTCGACTGCAAACCCAATCCAGCACAAGTTTTGTTTCATAAAGGGGATCTCAGAAGGGTGCAACACCTGCACGCAGACCCATTAGTAGTTAGTCTACTAATGGCCAACTGTCTGGTCAGACGAGTACTGATTGACCCCGACAGTAGAGCTAATATCATGACAAAGTGGACGTTCGATCAGTTAAAATTGGCTGCAGACCAGATTTGTCCCACTAAAAGTCCTTTGGTAGGATTCGATGGGAGAAGAGTGGAGCCCACAGGTGTGATCACGCTATCAGTCACTGTTGCTAAAAGATCCCTAAAAGAGAACTTCGTGATTGTGGATATTCACCCGACCTACAATTTGCTAATGGGTCGAGGATGGATCCACTACATGGAAGGAGTCCCATCAACCCTGCACCAAGTCATGAGATGCATAAGCCCGAATGGTTAAGAGATCATCGATATCTGGGGGGACCAGGTAACAGCAAAGAAGTGCTACCACACGACGGTTTATCCTTCCGAAAAAGGTAAGAAATTGTTGAAATAGCAATTACTGAGCTCTTCCCCTCCAAAAGAGACAGAGAAACCGAAAGAAGAGCATCTTACTGTAGAACCCCTAGAAGCCATGCAGATAGTCGCAGGGGACGAGCGCAAGCTGACCTACATAGGGACTCTCCAGTTAGTTAAGGAGAAGGAAGAACAGGCAGAAATCCTAAGGAAGAACGCAGACATCTTCGCTTGGAATCACTGGAACATGCCGAGAATTGACCTACGGATGGCCTGTCATAGCCTGAATGTGGACCCCAGCTACCATCCGGTAAAACAAAAGCAAAAAAGGTTTGCCCCCGAAAGGAATAAAATCATTGCCGAAGAAGTCAATCGACTTTTAGAAGCAGGGTTCGTTAGAGAAGTCCAGTATCCTCAACGGTTGTCAAACGTGGTGGTTGTCCAGAAAAAGAATGGTAAATGGCGAGTGTGCATTGACTTCACCAACCTGAACAAAATGTGCCTAAAAGATAGCTTCCCACTCCCCAAGATCGATTAGATGGTAGACGCTACGATCGGATATGAAAAACTAACTTTCCTTGATGCTTACTCGGGATACAACCAAATCCCGATGAACCCTTCGGACGAAGAAAAGAGTTCTTTCATCACCGAACAGGGACCTATTGCTACAAGGTAATGCCCTTCAGGTTAAAAAATGTAGGAGCAATTTATCAAAGGCTGATCAACAAAATGTTCGAAGAACAGATCGGCCGAACAGTCGAAGCTTACATAGACGATATGGTTGTGAAAAGCAAAGTTAAGAAAGATCATCGGCAACACCTACAGGATGTGTTTGATACTCTCAGGAAACATAGAATGATGTTAAACCAGCAAAATGTTCATTCGGAGTGTCCTCGGGACAGTTCCTCGGTCACCTGGTAAGCAAAAGGGGAATAGAGGCAAGTCCCACTCAGTTGGCAAAATTGCTACAGGGTCAAGAGCCCCGAACCGTGAGGAAAGTCCAAATCCTCACTGGGAGAGTAGTGGCTCTTAGCCATTTTATATCCAGATTATCAAATAAGTGCAAACCGTTCTTCGACGTAATCAGAGCTAGAAAAAGGAGATATCTGGGGGGCAGAGCAGAGAGAAGCTCTCGTGAAACTCAAGGAATACATGACAAGTCCCCCAATTCTATCTGCTTTAGAACCCGAAGAGCCGTTGTACCTCTACTTAGCAGTATCTCAGTCAGCAACCAGCTCAGCCTTAGTAAGAGAAATGGGAAAGAAGCAACACCCGGTCTTTTATTCCAGTAAGGCCATGACTGACGCAGAAAACCTGTACTCAATGGCAGAAAAAATTATCCTTGCTCGAATTCAAGCCAAAAGGAAACTCCGACACTATTTTGAGGCTCATCGGATAGTAGTTCCCACGATACATCATATTAAAGCAATTCTCAGTAAACCAGACATCTCAGGTCAGATCACCAAATGGGCAATTGAATTAAGCTCCTTTGAAATCCGGTACGAATCATGCACTGCCAAAAAAGGGCAAGTGGTTGCGAATTTTCTCTTGGATATTGCCCCAGGGGAAAAACAGCAAACCACGGAAGAGCCTTGTTGAGAATTATATGTCGATGGTTCTTCGAGTCAAAACGGAGCTGGAGCAGGAGTAGAGATAAGAACCCCCGATTGCTTAGACTGCTAGCATGGCTTAGATTGGCCAAGGAACTCCAAGTAAAGCACCTCAAAGCCTATAGCGGTTCGCAGCTCATCACAAGGCAGGTGACGGGAGAGTACACCACCAGAGAGGGCAGAATGAATGCATACTGAGAAGAAGTTGAAAAAATGATAAAGTACTTTGATACAATCAAATTTTAGCAGATCCCTAGGGAAGAAAACCCGATAGCTAATCGTTTGGCGAATGCAGCATCCCTAGCGGATGAGTCCCTTACCAGAGTCATCCCCATTGATGTCCTAAAAACACCGAGCATCATAAGGGGAGTGCAGGTGTTGGTCATCCCATGGGAACCAAGTTAGATAGATCCAATATTGACTTACCTTGAGAGAGGAGAACTCCCCAATTCTAAGGAAGCAGCCCGGCAGCTAAGGATAAAAGCTGCTAAATATTCTATGGTAGGAGGACAGCTTTTCTGACGATCGCATTCCGGACCCTACCTCAAGTGTCTGACCCCAACGGAGTCCCGAGAAGTTCTAAAATAGATACATGAATAGGAGTGTGGGAATCATTCTGGGGGCAGGTCATTGGCTCATAAAGCTTTCACTCAAGGTTATTTCTGGCCTTACATGGCAAGAGAAGCAGAAGAATACTCTCGCAGATGCGACAAATGTCAAAGGTATTCCCCCCCTCGTCCATCTACCCCTGGAAAAAATACACACCATGAGTAGCCTATGGCCATTCGCACAATAGGGAATGGACGTGGTAGGACCCCTACCAATGGCGGCCTCGCAGAAAAGATTCAAAATCCCAAAATCCATCATCATGGACAACGGGCCAAATCTGGATAATCAATACACTCAACATTTCTTCAACAAGTACGGTATCAACCAGAAAGTGTCAGTTGCATACTAACCCTAAGGCAATAGGCAAGCGGAGATAACGAACAGGGCGATCTTTGCCTGCATCGAAAAGAAGCTTGAAGATAAAAAAGGGAAGTGGTTAAAAGAATTGCCAAATGTCTTATGGGCATATAGAACCACCTTGAGACGTCCCACTGGTGAAACCCCTTTCTCTCTAGCTTACGGCATCGAGGCCATAATCCCCACCGAAGTGGTGGCACCCACCATCCGAAGCTTAGCTTGGAACCAGGAGTCAAATAATCAGTTTCTGGAACACAGTCTGGATCATTTGGAAGAAAAAAGGGAAGACGCAGCCATCCGGCTAGCAGCCTACCAGCAGAAGATAGCAAATAGTTATGACAAAAGGGTCAGAAGGAGAAGCTTCAATCCGGGAGATCTGGTGCTCCTGAAATTAGAAAAGTACGTCAGCAAATTGGAACCTAACTGGGAAGGGCCATACCGAATATCATTTGTGATTAGAAAAGGAGCTTACAGACTTCGACACTTGGATGGCACCGAAATGACCAAGCCGAGGAATGCAATGAACTTGAAAAGGTACTTTTAATAAAGCAAATCGTACAGTGTTTTCCAGTACTTTGCTTTTTGAACAAATAAAACTGCTAACAGCCTTTTTTCAAATGTCCCACATCAAATAAAAACAAAACTTGTGAATATTATTTAAAGTGGAATAACACGATATCTAAACAGTAGAATGGACCCCCTGATGGTAGGCGACCCATAACGGGACCCACCATCAAAGGCCTCCACTTCACATTTTTTATCTTTTATCTTACCACAAATAAGGTCTTATCACCTGCGAGAAACGATGTCCCACATCGTTCAAAAAATGGAATCTAACCCTTTTTTTTATAAGGATCCACACTTACCTCCTATCAATGTGTGGGACCCATTGACAATGGGATCCCACTTACGACACTAAAGTGCCCCATTGTCAGAGGTCTCCATACACTCCCCATATATTTTCTCCTTTTTTGAGAAAGTACGGTCCCACATCGACAAAAAAGGAAAAGAATCCCTTATTATTATAATATAACCTGCCGGGTATACAATCAGCGGGTGAGGGCCCTAAATTACGAGGCCCGTGGATAGTCTCAGCCCATTATCAGAGGGGGTCCGTAATGTAGGGTCTTCCCTACTTTCTTTTGGGATAGGTCACTTCTCTTCAAATCCCTATCTCACTTTACACAGAAAATTGGTTTTCTATAAGACAAAAATCATTTAAATTTTAAACATTAGCAAGGGAACACCCATACAAAGAAGGCCCAATAAAAAGGGGTTAACTCGCGACGACACACTCAAGACGGACTTACGAATAGGTGAAGGCCCCAAGAGCCTAACGCCCGAACAGGCTTGACCAGATAAATCGCTCAAGCCCAAAAAAGCTAAACAGCCCCAAGAGCCGATCACAAAATATGCGAAGGCCCCAAAAGCCTAACGCTCTAACGGGCTTGACCGGATAAACCGCTCAAGTCCAAAAAAGCCGAACGGCCCAACAGCCAATCACAAAATATGCGAAGGCCCTAAGAGCCTAACGCCCGAACGAGCTTGACTGGATAAACCACTCAAGTCCAAAAAAGCCGAACGGCCCGAAGAGCCGATCGTAAAATAGGCGAAAAGCCCCAAGAGCCTAACGCCGTAACGGGCTTGACCGGATAAACTGCTCAAGTCCAAAAAAGCCGAACGGCCCTAAGAGCCGATCGCAAAATAGGCGAAGGCCGTAAGAGCCTAATGCTCGAATGGGCTTGGCCGGATAAACCACTCAAGTCCAAAAAAGCCGAACGGCCTCAAGAGTCAATCGTAAAATAGGCGAAAGCCCTAAGAGCCTAACGCCTGAACGGGCTTGACCGGATAAACCGCTCAAGTCCAAAAAAGCCGAACGGCCCAACAGCCAATCGCAAAATATGCGAAGGCCCTAAGAGCCTAACGCCCGAACGGGCTTGACTGGATAAACCACTCAAGTCCAAAAAAGCCGAACGGCCCCAAATGCCGATGGCAAAATAGGCGAAAAGCCCCAAGAGCCTAACGCCCGAACGGGCTTGACCGGATAAACCGCTCAAGTCCAAAAAAGCCGAACAGCCCTAAGAGCCGATCGCAAAATAGGCGAAGGCCGTAAGAGCCTAATGCTCGAACGGGCTTGACCGGATAAACCACTCAAGTCCAAAAAAGCCGAACGGCCCCAAGAGTCAATCGTAAAATAGGCGAAAGCCCTAAGAGCCTAACGCCTGAACGGGCTTGACCGGATAAACCGCTCAAGTCCAAAAAAGCCAAACGGCCCTAAGAGCCGATAGCAAAATAGGTGAAGGCCCCAAGAGCCTAATGCCCGAACGGGCTTGACCGGATAAACCACTCAAGTCCAAAAAGGCCGAAT